CTCTGGGGTTCAGGTCAGGAGAGTTGGCAGGCCAATTGAGCCCAGTAATACCATGGTAAGTAAACCATTTACCAGTGGTTTTGGCACTGTGAGCAGGTCATGCTGAAAAATGAAATCTTCATCTCCATAAAGCTTTTCAGCAGATGGAAGCATGAAGTGCTCCAAAATCTCCTGATAGCTAGCTGCATTGACCCTGGCCTTGATAAAACACAGTGGACCAACGCTAGCAGCTGACATGGCACCCCAGACCATCACTGACTGACAACTCTTCTCGTTGTGCAGCGTTTTTCCTTCCCACAGACTTCCCACTGAGGTGCCTTGATACAGCACTCTGGGAACAGCCTATTGGTTCAGAAATGTCTTTCTGTGTCTTACCCTCTTGCTTGAGGGTGTCACTGATGGCCTTCTGGACAGCAGTCAGGTCAGCAGTCTKACCCATGATTGTGGTTTTGAGTAATGAACCAGGCTGGGAGTTTTTAAAAACCTCAGGAATGTTTTGCAGGTGTTTAGAGTTAATTTGTTGATTCAGATGATTAGTTTAATAAGTCATTTAGAGAACCTTTTCATGATATGCTAATTTTTTGAGATAGGGATTTTTGGTCTTTTTTTACTTTTTTCCCAAAATCATCAATGTTAAAACAATAAAAGGCTTGAACTACTTCAGTTGGTGTGCAATGAATATAAAATATATCAAAGTTTGTTTATCAGTACATTACAGAAAATAATGAACTTTATCACAATATGCTAATTTTTTGAGAAGAACCTGTAACTCCTCGAGTTCTCCCTGCGTCAAACCTTGACAGTTTACTGAACTTTTTCTGTGGGGGATTTTGGTCATTCCTGAAAGAAATGGATATCACCCACCGCTTTTTATTCCAGAGATTTAGACTAACATCATCTCATGTTGAGAAATTACAGAGTTGTAGTCGTTTCAGTAAAACCTTGAAAGGTTCAGTGTGTTATGAATGACTCTCAGTTACTACCACAGTAAGATTAGCTCAGTGTCTGCAAAACTGATTGAGTTTGAGCCAATTTGTGTGCTTTTCCTTTGACAAACAACAAAAAGTAAACTGAACTGCAGTCACCCGCCCAAGGCGTTCTCTGCTGTTTGTTGTCAAATACGTCTGATAACATTCGGGACACTCAGTCTGTTGACGTCAGGAAACCTTGGAGTTTTTTAGTTTTGTTTCTGTCTTCAGTCCAAAGATGCTTCTCATCTATGTACAATGTTGCTTAAAGTGGAGTTCTCTGACAAATAAAGCAAAGTAAATGTTAGACTACTTCATTGATTCAATGTGATAATTAAATACAATAAATCAACACTGTTCATGCTTCTAACGTTTCATAATCTAATAAAACAAAATACATTTTATAAATGAAATCATAGTTGTTTGTTTTGTTGTTTTTGCAAAAGCCTACAGACGCATAAACCAACAGCTTATGCAGAACAGAAGCGGAAAACAACACACCCAGAAAAAAACCTTCAAGCTACATTTTTCATTAAAATTCCTCCATGAAATATTTTGCTAAAATGCAGGCAAAAACATAGTTGCTCACACATTTGACTTACACAACAGATTTGAACATTTTTTAATTATATGTTATCTTTCAGCTTTCCCTCTGACTCATGTGACTCCTGTGTCAGCATGTTTATTTGTTTAGTAAGAAGGGTTCATTCTGTTTCGTTTTCGAAACAGAAACTTTTCTTATTTGAGCCAAAAACACCAACAGAGGGGGCTGTAGGACAAAAAAAAAAACTGGACCTCATCTTTCAGCACTGGTGCAGCTAGGTGACATCTGTATTTATAAGAAACTTATATCAGCTAATACTGATAATAAAAACATCAATATATCATCTGAGCTGAGGATTAGGGGGGAAAAAAGTGAAAACAGTCTGGTCTTCAGTCTAAAACACTCAAAAAATGAAAAAAAAACCTCGCAAAGCATCATATAAAACTGCCTATTTTTCTTCAAATAAATAAATAGCATTATGTTATCCATATCTTATTTATATAACAATATACTGTATAAAGAAAATTGTAAATAATATTACATAACAGTCTGGGATCACCTTCGGCACACGTGGGCAAAATGTGGTCCGAAGGCCAGATGTTTAATTTGAATGACCTCTATTTGGCTCTTAAAGTTGTTAAAAGTTAACAAAACAACATAAAATCAACAACTAAAACAATAATAAAAAAATAATTTGATGTAAATGACAACAGTACTAAAGAAAGTCCGATTTATTTATTTATTTTTTTGGCCAGCCAGTTTTAATAGGTGCATATTAGTCACTTAAAAAACTATCATCCATCTTTAATTAATCAATTACCAAAGAGAAAAATAAAGTGTAAACTGTAGTCTACAGTTTAGCTGTTGTTGCCTCTTTTGGACTAAAATAGATCTGATGTTTTTATTTTAAGGTCAGTAATGTTTGTGTTTCTGCTGCAAAAACTGGAGCTCAGTTGTTCTGTTCCCATTAGGAAACTGAACTAAGATAGTACAAAAAAGACCTGAATGAATTCTGCTGCTGGCAGAATATTTTCCACAAAGATGTCATCTATTCACAAATAAAAACTAAATTTAGGTAAACGGTGTCATACAATTGAATCAGAGCATAACATTTCCTAATCAATCAGATCTTGTCTAAAACCTTTATCTGTCATCAGTGGTCAGATTTAAAACTCAGACAGTCGTCATTGCTTGTTTAGACCTTTATCAGCATCTATCTGCTGACCATCAGTTCCTATTTAAAACCTGTATTTAACGACCTTTGAAAAAAGTGTTCTTGGTGCGAACGATAACCTGTGTCTGCTTGAGAGGAACTTTGCAACCACCTAAAGTCCTAAAGCTGCAAATCTGAGGCGCTTTTCAAGCCACGACATGCTCCAGGACTCCATCAGTTACTTTATGCAGAAATGTACTTTCAACCTCAACCAGAATATTAACGTTTGAGCCGCCTGTGAGGACCGAGAGAAGTCCAGGAGAACAGTTCTCTGGTCAGGGTTCAGAAAAGAAAGTCCAAAGGTAAAGATCGCTTCGGATTACACTTCAGCTGACATCAAAGAACAAAATAAAAACTTAAATGGGGCATCTTTGTCCTGTGTTTTTTATTTTTTATTATTACTTCCAGTTTCAGTTATCATAGCGACCAGTATCAGTCAGGCTTTTTTGGACGTTTTGGCTCGTGTTATACAACAACCTATAAGATTTCTTCGGCAGAGCAGTAAGGTGGCAACACCTGTTCAAAGTACGCAGTGACAATGACGTCTCAGCTGTGCTGCTCGAACACCTCGCCTACTGCTAAGAAACACTTATTTAATACTCAAAGTGTCTTGATTAGATATCCAGCTCTATATACACACATTATGTAACAATACACACGTGTAGGTTTGTCTTAGTCATAAAAAGCTAAATTATAAGTACCTAGATGGGGAATATTTTGGAATAAGATGCTTTAAAAGAAAAAAATCTGATTTCTGAATCATAAATGCAAACATTAGGGTTGTGTGTTTTATGCTTTATCAGCATTAATGTTAGAATCAGACCTCAAATATAAACACGTGAATGAGTTTACTTCATTGAGGATCTTATTTTTCTCTATTATGAGAAACAAACTAATTACATGAGATGATGCAGGCTGAGGAAACATATGTAATAACAGTGAAGTATTATGTCTTTGGTGAAACTCTATGTACGCGTGTGCTTTAAATACAGCCTAACACTTCCTTCTTTACTGTACAGAGCTGCTAAAGATGAGAGTGCACTGTTCCTCCCAGCACTGTGGTGCAAAGATGACCTCAAAGCTCCAGAGAGTCACCTTATACTCAGGTGTGACATTACAGCGTGAGAAAAGCATGCTGGGAGAGCTCACAGGGTTGCAGAGACTAGGGACAGAGAGACTTGGGACACTGACTAAGTGTCCTCTTTGTGCCGCTGACCCACATTTACATTTTTTTTTTGTTGATACCAAAATCTAGAAC